CTTATTTCTCATGCCAGTAAGGTAATGCTCAAGATCCTGCAAGGAAGACTCCAGCAATACATGGAGCGAGAGTTGCCAGATGTTCAAGCTGGGTTTAGAAAAGGCAGAGGAACGAGAGACCAGATTGCCAACATCCGCTGGATAATGGAGAAAGGCAGGGAGTTTCAGAAAAACATCTACTTCTGCTTCATTGACTATTTATTTATTTATTACTGTACTTGTATACCGCTGTTTCTCAGCCTAAATTGGCGACTCAACGCGGTTTACAACAAAATACAACAATCAACAGTATTCAGTTTAAAAACCATAAAAAACAACATACACAATACACAATATTGGCCCATCAATAACAATCCAATGCATCTCTTAACTAAAATCGCAATCCAATTTCATCGTCCATATTACCAGTCCTTTAGTCGTCAAATTCATTGCACCGAATTAACCGAATGCCTGTTCGAACATCCAGGTCTTCAATCTTTTTCGAAACACCATCAGCGAGGGGGCTGATCTTACCTCCATGGGAAGGGCGTTCCAAAGCCGAGGGGCCACCACAGAAAAGGCCCTGTCTCTCGTCCCCGCCAGCCGCACCTGTGAAGCAGGCGGGATAGAGAGCAGGGCCTCCCCAGAAGATCTTAGGGTCCTGGTGGGCTGATAGGCCAAGATACGTTCGGATAGGTAGGTTGGGCCAGAACCGTTTAGGGCTTTAAAGGCCAACGCCAGCACTTTGAATTGAGCCCGGTAGCAAATTGGCAGCCAGTGGAGCTGGTGCAGCAGAGGAGTTGTATGCTCCCTGCGCCCGCTCCTGTTAGTATCATGGCTGCCGCCCGTTGGACTAATTGGAGCTTCCGGGCTGTCTTCAAAGGCAACCCCACGTAGAGAGCGTTGCAGTAGTCAAGATGGGATGTAACCAGAGCGTGGACTACCGTGGCCAAGTCAGACTTCCCAAGGTACGGTCACAGTTGGCGCACAAGCTTTAACAGTGCAAATGCTTCCCTGGTCACCGCCAAAACTTGGGGTTCCAAGCTCAGTGCTGAGTCCAGGATCACACCCAAGCTGCGAACCTGCGTCTTCAGGGGGAGTGTAACCCCATCCAACACAGGCTGTAACCCTATGCCCTGTTTGGCCTTGCGACTGACCAGGAGTACCTCTGTCTTGTCTGGATTCAATTTCAATTTGTTCGCCCCCATCCAGACCGTCACAGCGGCCAAGCACCGGTTCAGGACCTCGACAGCCTCCTTAGTAGCAGGTGGGAAGGAGTGACAGAGTTGGACATCATCTGCGTACAGATGACATCGCACTCCGAAACTCCGGATGATCTCAGCGGCTTCATGTAGATGTTAAACAACATGGGAGACAGTATTGAACCCTGAGGAACCCCACAAGACAAAGGTTGTGGGGTTGAACAGGAGTCTCCCAGTAACACCTTCTGAGACCGACCCTCGAGGAATGAGTGGAGCCACTGCAGAACAGGACCTCCCAAACCCATCCCCACGAGGCGTCCCAGAAGGATACCGTGGTCGACGGTATCTAAGGCCGCTGAGAGGTCCAGCAGCACCAACAGGGACACACTCCCGCAGGATACTTCTGCTTCATTGACTATTCTAAAGCCTTTGACTGTGGAGATCATAATAAATTGTGGCAAGTTCTTGGTGGGATGGGCATCCCAACCCACCTTGTCTCTCTCCTGAGGAATCTGTACAAGGACCAAGGAGCAACAGTCAGAACTGACCACAACAGACTGGTTCAAGACTGGGAAAGGCGTACGGCAAGGCTGCATACTCTCACCCAACCCTTTTAACTTGTATGCAGAACACATCATGCGAGGATGTGCGGGGCTTGAGAATGCAAAGCTGGGGTTAAGATTGCTGGAAGAAACATTAACATTAGATATGCAGATGACACCACTTTGATGACCGAAAGCGAGGAGGAGCTGAGGAGCCTTCTAATCAAGGTGAAAGAAGAAAGCGCAAAAGCCGGGTTGCAGCTAAACATCAAAAAAACCAAGATTATGGCAACAAGAATGATTGACAACTGGGAAATAGAGGGAGAAAATGTGGAGGCCGTGACAGACTTTGTATTTCTAGGTGCAAAGATGACTGCAGATGCAGAATGTGGCCAGGAAATCAGGAGATGCTTACTTCTTGGGAGGAGAGCAATGTCCAGTCTCGATAAAATAGTAAAGAGTAGAGACATCAGACTGGCAACAAAGATCCGCCTAGTCAAAGCCATGGTATTCCCTGTAGTAACCTACGGATGTGAGAGCTGGACCTTAGGGAAGGCTGAGCGAAGGAAGATTGATGCTTTTGAGCTGTGGTGTTGGAGGAAAGTGCTGAGAGTGCCTTGGACTGCGAGAAGATCCAACCAGTCCATCCTCCAGGAAATAAAGCCCGGCTGCTCACTGGAGGGAAGGATACTAGAGACAAAGTTGAAGTACTTTGGCCACATCATGAGGAGACAGCAAAGCCTAGAGAAGACAATGATGCTGGGGAAAGGGGAAGGCAAAAGGAAGAGGGGCCGACCAAGGGCAAGATGGATGGATGGCATCCTTGAAGTGACTGGACTGACCTTGAAGGAGCTGGGGGTGGTGACGGCCGACAGGGAGCTCTGGCGTGGGCTGGTCCATGAGGTCACGAAGAGTTGGAAACGACTGAATGAATGAACAACAACAAGCATCCTAGATTTGGAAGAGACCTGGTGGGCCACCCACTCCAACCCCATTCTGCCAAGAACCAGGGAAATTGCACTCAAAGCACCCCCAACAGATGGCCATCCAGCCTCCGCTTCAAAGAAGGAGCCTCCACCACACTCCCTCCAGGGCAGAGAATGCCTTGAGTTTTGGAGTTGTAGTTCACCTACATCCAGAGAGCACTGTGGACTCAAACAATGATGGATCTGGACCAAACTTGGCACGAATACTCAATATGCCCAAATGTGAACACTGGAGTTTGGGGAAAATAGACCTTGACATTTGGGAGTTGTAGTTACTGGGATTTATAGTTCACCTACAATCAAGGAGCATTCTGAACCCCACCAGTGACAGAATTGGGGCAAACTTCCCACACAGAACCCTCATGACCAACAGAAAATACTGTGTTTTCTGGTGGTCTTTGGCAACCCTTCTGACACCCCCCCCCTCGCAACCCCTCCAGGGTCCCAACCCAGGTTGAGAAATGCTGCCTGAAGGCCATCCAGTCCAACTCCCTTCACCAAGGCAAGAAAACATAATCAAAGCCCTCGTGACAAAGGGCCATTCACACACACACATATGTATATGATAGATGCAGTATCATAGATTTGAAAGGGACCCCTGTGAAGATGTTGTTAAACTGCTGCCACCAAATGTGAAGGTGCGAGTGGTAAAACACCCACTGCCACCTAATCTATGAGGGAAGCCAGGCAACGATCAATATCAACCTAGGAGCTATTTTATAAAGGGACTGTTAATTACAGAAGGCTTTATTTATTTGATAGCGTAGCGTTTACTTTCCTGGCTTGACTTTACTATTGCAGGCTGTTCAACTTAGGAGAAACTGTATCAGGCAAGGCTTGAGGAGAACAGTAACAAGTTTATTTTAACAGGAGTATAACATGTTTAACTGTTTCTTCAAAAGAGGCACAAATCTTGATGGTTACATTGGAAAGGTTTCATGAGTAATCTCAGGCACAGACTTCAAAACGTTTCACAGCAGGTACAACAGGCTTAAACCTAGCCAAACCTTGATTCTTAATTCAGAATCAACAATCCCCTGTAGCTCTCTCACTACCAGGTCCTTCTCTGCAACCACTTTGGTCACCAATTGATTCCCTGAATCCCCACCCTGAGATTCAGTCTTTCCTATAGCACACCGGCTACAGACACATTCCCTGAATCTCCACCCAGAGACTCAGTCCTCTCAGTAGCTCACTGGCGTACTGACTGACTTTTTAAAACAGCTGCCTCCTGAAGAGGCAGTTGGCTCCGCCCCTGTTGCTATGGCAACTCAGCTAACGCCAAGCCACCATCTCCCACAAAACATAATCTCCCATACTTACCATCCCTAAACCACTGTCCAAACTACACATAACCAAAGAAATAAAACTTACACATCGTCACAACCCCTAAAGAAGGACAATGGTATGTTGCATGTTCCAAAGTAGGCAAACCAGACAATCTCCACATAACACTGGCAAAGAAACAGCAAGGAATACAGTTTACCCACAAGCAGAAAGACATTACATATATTAAAAACCAACACTTTCTCATTACTTTATTTTCCAGATCAACAGACTGGGCCACAGCAACGCGTGGCAGGGGACCGCTAGTATATACATATAGACAGAGACACAGAAGCTATTTAACTTTCCAGCTTCGTGAGGATATGCTTTTTGAATTCAGGCCACCGGAGGGGCTGTCGCTTCACCATCCACTTATGACACCAATGGAGTACTTCCGCATCCTTTTGCACGCTGCTGGAGTTTTTATGGCATTGTAAATTAGCCAGCAAGGTAATGCTCAAGATCCTGCAAGGAAGACTGGCATGTTAATGTATCCTTAAATGAATGTGTTGATTATTTTGTATAATGTTTTAAAAATTATTTTACTCTTTTAATTGTAATTTTATGGTGTATATGTTGTAAGTGTCATTTGATGTGAGGCCGCCCTGGGTCCGCTTATGGGGAGAAGGGCGGGGTAGAAATGTAACAAATAAATAAATTTATGGCTGTAAAAGAGGATCCAATGGCTTTTACTGTCTTGCATGCTTTATGACTGATCACTTTGAGTGCAGACTCTGTATCAGACATCCTTTCAGGCTTGAATGCAATAAACCTCAGTTCCAGTTGCCTTCAAAGCCAGTTTTGTGTGTTGATCTGATCTTCAAAGTAGCAGAACCTGCTGGGCATTGGACTCTCAGCCCGTGCCATTAGTGGGGAGCTGAATTTTGGCCCCAGAAGGAGGCAGGAAGGCTCCAAATGACTGATTTTGTAAACCAGTTTGGCAAACAGATACTCTGACTCATTCAGAACTTGTAAAAACCAACTTTATTGTAGGTGCCATTCAGTTTCATTATAAAAACATATACATGGGGAAAATATCATAGAATCATTGAGTTGGAAGAGACCTCTTGGGCCATCCAGTCCAACCCCCTGCCAAGAAGCAGAAAATCACATTCAAAGCACTCCCGATAGATGACCAGGACTGCTTAAGAGGAACAAGTGTCTAATACATGGAATAGAAGAAATGGATTGACATTAGAAAATCATTTTGAGGAATTTCAACACAGATCTCAAACTCTAGCTGCTGGAAAAAGCTGGTAAATTCTAAGGAATTAGAGGGACAACATGAATATTTCCTCCGAATTTCATTCCACCTCCCATGCATTCAGTTTCACCGACGTGAGTCAACAGATGTTTACAACATGATGTAATCCTGCTGAAGGTCTTCCCACATTCCGTGCACATATATGTTTTCTCCCCTGTGTGAGCCATTAGATGATTATTATATGATCCAGGACCACTGAAACTCTTTCCACATTCCATGCATGTGTATGGCTGCTCCCCTGTGTGGGCCCTTAGATGATTATTATATGATCCACTACTACGGAAGCTTTTTCCACATTCCATGCATTTGTATGGCTTCTCCCCTGTGTGTATTCCTTGATGGTAACTCAGAGCATTACTCCAACCAAAACTCTTTCCAAATTCCATGCATTTTTATGGTTTCTCCCCTGTGTGTGTTGTTTGATGGCAATGCAGCTGCACACTCCACCTGAAACTATTTCCACATTCTATACATTTATATGGCTTCTCATCTGTGTGGGTCCTTTGGTGGGAACGCATATGTGAACCCGAATTGAAACGCTTTCCACATTCCACACACTGATATGGCTTCTCCCCTGTGTGGGTCCTTAGATGGTATCTTAGAGACTGATGCAACCTGAAACTCTTTCCACATTCCATGCACGGATATGGCTTCTCCCCTGTGTGGGTCCTTAGATGGCCCTTCAGAGATTGATGCCACCTGAAACTCTTTCCACATTCCATGCATTGATATGGCTTCTCCCCTGTGTGGGTCCTTAGATGATTATTATATGATCCACGAATACGGAAGCTTTCTCCACATTCCATGCATTTGTATGGCTTCTCCCCTGTGTGTATTCTTTGATGGTAACGCAGCTTTGAACTCCTATTGAAGGTCTTTCCACATTCTATGCATTTATATGGCTTTTCCCCAGTGTGCGTTACTTGATGCATACGAAGTTGCGCACCGTCACCAAACCTCTTTCCACATTCTATACATTCAAATGGCTTTTCTCCTGTGTGTGTCTTTAGATGTTTATGGTATGTTGAAATATCACGGAAGCTCTTTCCACATTCCACGCATTTATACGGCTTCTCTCCTGTGTGTATTCTTTGATGGCTATGCAGATGTTCCCTCCGACGGAAATACTTTCCACAATCCATGCATTTATATGGCCTCTTCCCAGTATCAATACTTTTCTCCCCTGAGTGAATCGCCTGATGGTTAATACATGTTCTATTATGACGGAAGCTCTTTCCGCATTCCTTGCATTGATATGGTTTCTCTCCTGTATGGGTCCTTTGATGGTAACGTAGACTCCAGCTAGAAACGAAGCTCTTTCCACATTCCATGCATTTGTATGGTTTCTCCCCTGTGTGGGTCCTTTGATGGTCACGCAGATGTGCCCTCCGAATGAAGCTCTTTCCGCATTCCATGCACTTGAAAGGTTTCTCCCCTGTGTGAATCATTAGATGACGTATATATGTTCGATTATCAGTAAAGCTCTTTCTGCATTCAATGCATTTATATGGCTTCTCCCCTGTGTGGGTCCTTTGATGGACACGAAGTGTTCCACTCGCCCTGAAGCACTTCCCACATTCCATGCATTTATGTGGCTTCTCTCCCGTGTGGATCATCTGATGGAGACGCAGATTGTAGCTATAACCGAAGGTCTTTCCACAATCCATACATTGATATAGTTTCTCGTCTTTGTGTGTTTTTTTATGTGAATGAAGATGATCACATGGACTAAAATTGTTTCCACAGTCCATACATTTGTCTCCCTTGGGGAACCTGGCATCGATGTCTAACTGTGAATGGCATTTGCACGTTTTCCCACAGTCAGAACATTCCATTTCATTTGATTCTGAGGCTAGAGGTTCAGAATGATCAGCCTGCTGGAAAGAAGACAATGTCGTTGGGTTTTTCACTTGGGTTGCGCTTTCTATTTCCCTTGTCTTTTCCTTTCCAAGCTCCTGTGTTTCCATGATGGGCTTTGTTACAGCTGGCTCTCCATGGTTCTCGTTCTCCCCCCGATTTCTGTTTCGAGGGAAAAGAAAATTCCATTAGAAGAAAGCAGATAAACAAAGGATCGAATAAGAACCTGATCTCAACTGCTTCTTAACCTCCAAGAATCTCCTCAATCTACTTAACATGTGCTATATTAATAATATAATAATATATTGTATATACAAACATTTGTATTATTATGTAATGCAATATAATACTAATACTAATAATAATATGATATAATTATATATTTATATTACATGTAATATAACAGGGCGGGTCAGTGCTTTTACGCAGCATTTGACACAGTCGACCACAATCTTTTGACCCACCGCCTTGCTGTTGCTGGAGTCAGGGGGAGAGCTTTAAACTTGCTGTCCTCCTTTCTTCACAACCGTGGACAGCGAGTGGAGAGGGGAGGCCTGGTCTCTGAGAGGTCCCCTCTCTCTTGTGGGGTTCCTCAGGGGGCCATTCTCTCCCCTCTGTTGTTTAACATCTATATGCGACCACTTGCTCAGCTGGTTCAAGGTTTTGGGCTGGAGTGTTACCAGTACGCTGATGACACTCAGCTGGTGCTGAAGATGGAAGGCCAAGCGGACTCTGTACCCGATTGTTTCCATCAGTGCCTCGAGGCCGTTACTGGATGGCTGCGTGCCAGCAGGTTGAGGGTGAATCCGGCAAAGACGGAGATCCTATGGCTGGGTCGACCGGGCAGTGGGGATATCCAGCTGCCTACCCTGGATGGCGAGGCGCTATGCCCGTCATCATTGGTCAAGAGTCTGGGAGTCCTTTTGGACCCTCTGCTGACGATGGAGGCCAGGTCTCTGCCGTTAGCAGAACCGCCTTTTTTCACCTGTGGCAAGCTAGACGGCTGGCCCCCTACCTGTCCAGGGACGACCTAGCTATAGTGATCCAGGCCACGGTCATCTCAAGGCTGGACTACTGTAACGCCCTCTACATTGGCCTTCCTCTGTCGGTGATCCGGAAGCTCAAGTTGGTACAAAATGCAGCTGCTCAGCTTCTTGCGGGAATTCCGATGAGATGCCACATCACCCAATCTTACTACAGCTGCATTGGTTACCAATTGAGCACCGGATCACTTTCAAAGTGATGGTACTCACCTTTAAGGCCTTGCATGGTCTGGGGCCGATGTACCTGAGGGACCGCCTCACCCCCTACCAAACCCAGAGATCCCTCCGTTCTGAGGACCAAGATCTATTGAAATTCCCAGTGTCAAGACCTTGCGTCTAACAGCAACCAGACGCAGAGCCTTCACAGCAGTGGCACCATCACTCTGGAATACTCTGCCACCTGAAGTCCGTGCCTTGCGGGACTTACCAGCTTTCCGCAGGGCTTGTAAGACATATCTGTTTCGACAGGCCTTTGATCTTTGGTATTGCTGTTTTTAAATTGCTTTTAAACTGTGTTAGATTTTAGCCTGTTCTTGTAAGCCGCTCCGAGCCCCAGGGGAGTGGCGGCATATAAGTTCAAATAATAAATAAATAAAAATAAATAAAATATCATTATTATCATATGAAATAAAGACTACTATATATATATATATATATATATGTGTGTGTGTGTGTGTGTGTGTGTGTGTGTGTGTGTGTATGTGTGTGTATATATATATATATATATATATATATATATATATATATATGTAAGCTGCTCTGAGTCCCCTTCAGGGTGAGAAGGGCGGCATATAAATGTTGTAAATAAATAAAAAATACATAAAATGACATTTCTTTTTCTATATGCAGCTATCAGCCAGGAATATAAATACCATTCTTTGTTTAACTGTAACAGGAATATATTATTATTATTATTATTATTATTATTATTATTATTATTATTTATACCCTGCCACCATCTCCCCTCAGGGACTCGGAGCGGCTAACAGGAGGCCAAGTCCAACAAATACAGTAAACAAATAAGATACATACAGCAAATAATAATTAAAATTGAAATTAAAATTAAAATAAAGTACAGCAATAAAAACAATAACATACAATAACATGGGCGAGTTTCCCCTTACTTTCAGGCACTCCAGGTTGCTTTCTCCGCTCACTCCAAAATAATGGAAGTGAAAGGGAGAGGGGACATGGAAGCTCCAGCTGTGGGTGGCCCAATGCTCTATGGCTAAGAGCGGTAGAAATTATAGGTTCTTACCCAGAGGGCATGTTCTCACAGGTCTCCATTGTATCGTCTACACATGAAGCCCACTAGACCTGATCCGGGACGCACAACTTCTTCTCAGAGAAACACTAGAGCACTTCCTCAAATGATGCCAGAACCTGAAGGAGAACAATGAGATGGAGAACATCACCAAAATGTAAAGCCCGCTGGCCTGGTTATGGAGCGACGGTGGTGGTTGTTAAGAGGACAAGGGTCAGAGCCAGCAGTTTGGTGGGTCTGGCTCAGCTGGTGCTGGGGGATTCATAGAGGTTAATCTGAGGTTTCAACTATGCTGATGATCGTGCCATTACTGCTCAAGCAAGGAGCTTTGAGATGGTAGAACAGAAGCTTTCCGAAGCTCTAGGCGCCCTTACCGCCTACTACAGGGAAAACCAACTGACCCCTAACCCATCTAAAACACAGACATGTGCTTTTCACCTTGAGAACAGACAAGCATCCCAAGCTCTGAGGATTATTACCTGGGAAGGAATCCCACTGGAGAATTGCAGCGCACCCAAATCCCTGGGAGTCACTCTGGACTGTGGTGTAGGGCGCAGACACCCCGTGATGATGTGGCATGTCTCATTAAGAGCCTACAAGAAGCACTGCCTGAACATCAAGCAAAAAGTGGGCGCTAGAAATAATATCATACGAAAGCTGACTGGCACAACCTGGGGATCACAACCAGACACAGTGAAGACATCTGCCCTTGCGCTATGCTACTCTGCTGCTGAGTATGCACGCCCAGTGTGGAACACATCTCACCACACTAAAACAGTGATGTGGCTCTTAATGAGACATGCCGCATTATCACAGGGTGTCTGCGTATTACACCACTGGAGAAATTACACTGCTTAGCCGGCATTGCACCACCTGACATCCGCCGGGAAGTAGCAGCCAATACTGAAAGGACCAAGGCAGTGACATCTCCAGCTCATCCCCTGTTTGGGTATCAGCCAGCACGTCAACGACTTAATCTAGAAATAGTTTTCTAAGATCTACAGAGACACTCGCTGGAACACCTCAGCAAGCGAGAGTCCAAAAGTGGCAGGCTCAAACCCAGAACCTCAACCAATGGCTGATACCAAATGAGAGACTCCCCCCGGGCACACAGAGGACTGGGCGACTTGGAAGGCGCTGAACAGACTGCGCTCTGGCACCACGAGATGCAGAGCCAACCTTCAGAAATGGGGCCACAAAGTGGAATCCTCGACATGCGAGTGTGGAGAAGAGCAAACCACTGACCACCTGCTGCAATGCACCCTGAGCCCTGCCACATGCACAATGGAGGACCTCCTTGCGGCAACACCAGAGGCACTCCAAGGGGCCAGATATTGGTTAAAGGACATCTAATCAACTACCAAGCTTGCAAATTTTGTGTTTTTTGTCTGTTAGTTTTGTTCTGTTAGAAATGTAATACAATGGTCTGGTTGTCCCTGGCACGATAAATAAATAATCTGACTCCTGCTGGGAAGGGTCAAGCCGATCTTCCATTCCTGAGCAACGTCTTACAGCAGTGTTTCTCAACCTGGGGGTCGGGACCCCTGGGGGTGGGTCACGAGGGGGTGTCAGAGGGGTCACCAAAGGCCATCAGAAAACACAATCTTTTCTGTTGGTCATGGGGGTTTACATGTGTGAAGTTTTGCCCATTCTTTTGTTGGTGGACTTCAGAATGCTCTTTGATCATAGATCCATCACTGTTTGAGTCCCCAGTGCTCTCTGGACGTAGGTGAACTACAACTCCAAAACACAAGGTCAATGCTCATCAAACCTTTCCAGTGTTTTGTGTTGGTCATGGTTGTTCCGTTTGCCAAGTTTGGTTCAATACCTTCATTGGTGGAGTTCAGAACACTCTTTGATTGTAGGTGAACTATAAATCCCAGCAACTACAACCCCCAAATCTCAAGGTCTATTTCCCCCAAACTCCACCAGTGTACACATCTGGGCATATTGAATATTCATGCCAATTTTGGTCCAGATCTATCACTGTTTGAGTCCCCAGTGCTCTCTGGATGTAGGTGAACTACAACTCCAAAACTCAAGGTCAATGCCCACCAAACCTTTCCAGTGTTTTGTGTTGGTCATGGGAGTTCTGTGTGCCAAGTTTGGTTCAATACCTTCATTGGTGGAGTTCTGAACGCTCTTTGATTGTAGGTGAACTATAAATCCCAGCAACTTCAACCCTCAAATCTCAAGATCTATTTTCCCCAAACTCCACCAGTGTTCAGATCTGGGCATACTGAATATTCATACCAATTTTGGTCCAGATCCATCACTGTTTGAGTCCCTAGTACTCTCTGGATGTAGGTGACCTCACACCCTCTGATGATGCTTGCCACAGATGCAGGCGAAACATCAGGAGAGAATGCTTCTAGAACGTGGCCACACAGCCCGAAAAACCTACAACCCAGTGATTCTGGGTATGAAAGCCTTCGACAATCTGCACCAAACTTGCCACACTACGTACATGGCCAACACTGAATACCGGTGGTGTTGGGGGGAGAGTCTGTTTCTGAATTCTGGGAGTTTATTTATTTATTTATTTATTTACTCCTTTTGTATACCGCAAATATCAGCCGCGGCGACTCTAAGCGGTTTACAGTAAAATGTGCAACATTGAACAATATATATGACAAACAACCACAAACAATACACAAAACGTCATCACGCCTCGAATAGAATCAGATCCAAATCTCATAGTCGTTTTACCATTCCTTGTTCAGTATGCCGTCTTCTGAGTCAGATGTTATTGCATGCTTATCCGAACGCCTGTTCGAAGAGCCACGTCTTAACCCGCCTCCTAAACGCCAATAGCGAGGGGGCCTGCCTGATCTCCACTGGTAGGGCATTCCATAGCCGAGGGGCCACCACCGAGAAGGCCCTGTCCCTCGTCCCCGCCAGCCGCACTTGTGATGCTGGCGGGACCGAGAGCAGGGCCTCCCCGGACGATCTTAGCATCCTCGCCGGTTCGTAGGCGGAGATGCGTTCGGAGAGGTAAGTGGGGCCGGAACCGTGTAGGGCTTTATAGGCTAAAGCCAGCACCTTGAATTGTGCTCGGTAGCAAATTGGCAGCCAGTGGAGCTGGCTCAACAGTGGAGTGGTGTGCTCCCAAAATTCAGTAAAAGGATGGGTGGAGAGGCATTCAGCCTTCTCTGCCAAAGGGGTTCCTAAGACCATCAGAAAAATGGTCTGTCTCACTTTACCTGTCCGAACGTGTCTCTCCCTATGAACCATCAAGGATCATCTGAGGAGGCCCTGCTCTCGGTCTCACCACCATCGCAGTTGCATTTGGTGGGAACTAGAGAAAGGGCCTTCTCTGTGGTGGCCCCTCGGCTGTAAAACTCTTTCCCTAAAGAGGTTAGATCTGCCCCTCCCTCCTGACTTTTCGCAAGACACGTAAGACTTGGTTGTGGGATCAAGCGTTCCCAGAATAGACTGTTCTCATTGGTATAGATGAGATTGTAGGGACCACATTTTTTGGACTAATTTGGAGCACGTTTTAAAATGTATATTTATTATCATTTTATGTAATTGTGTATTTTATTGGTGTTTTTATATTGTTGGAAGCCACCCTGAGTCGCTCTTTGGAGGTCGAGAATAGGACGGGATACAAATGGTCTCTAAATAAATAAATAAATAAATAAATTTATTTATTTTGAGGGTTCAAATGGGCTTCATGCCTTCCTCTCCATGACCCCCTCCCCTGGCAAAAAGCGGCCCATTTGGGACCCTTCCTTAATGACTACCTTCCTCATCCTCTTCCTCCTCGAAACTCCTTCCCATGGAAGGAAACTCCCTTTTCAGGGGCCAGACCTCCCTGCATTCCTCCCACCCACGTGACTCTCTCCGGGCCCCCATAAGCATTTGCGCAGTTAAAACTTGTGCGCCAGCTGCACCCGTACCTTGGGAAGTCTGATTTGTCCACGGTAATCCACGCTCTAGTTACATCCCGTATAGACTACTGCTACACACTCTATGTAGGGCTGCCTTTGAAGACTGTTCGGACGCTCCAAATGGTCCAACGTGCGGAAGCCAGGTTATTAACAGGAGCGGTGCTCAGGGAGCATACAACTCCGGCCCAGCTTACTTGTCCAAACGTTTCTCCCTCTATGTTCCACCTCATAATTTACGATCTGCTGGGGAGGCCCTGCTCTTGGCCCCACCGGCTTCGCAAACTCGGCTGGTGGGGATGAGGGATAGGGCCTTCTCAGTGGTGGCCCCCCGCTTGTGGAATTCGCTCCCCAGTGAGATTAGATCGGCGTCCTCCCTCCTTTCTTTTAGGAAAAAACTAAAATCGTGGTTTTGGAGCCAGGCCTTTGGCTAGTGAGTACAGCAGCACTTTAGACACTGAACCCAGACCACAGGACTGTTACGACAATTGGAAACGGCTATGTGACTTTGTGACTATAGGATTATATGACTATGTGATAGGGGGGTGGAGGCCATGACTGGGGTCAGTTTGGGGTGAAAGATTTGGGATTTCCTCCCAGGGGCCCCAGAGATCCTGGGTGCAACCCCCTTCCTTTGGCCCCTCCCTCTTCCCTTCCCCATCTTCCATCCCCATCCATTGCAGGCTTGGAGATGGGGCTTCCAAGGGGAAAACATGGGAGTTGAAGTCCATAACACCCATAAGGGCCCCCTCCCCATTTGAAGGGCCCCATTTGCCCCCCCCCCAGTTACTCTGCACCCCTTGCAGGCACCTGAATGGGCTTTGCAGTGGCATGTAAACAAAGGTGAAGGCTCTGCAGCTCCCATCCTCCCAAGTCCACCCACCCTCCAAACCCCACCATCCTCCCACCATGATCCCCATAAGGGCCCCCTCCCCTGCAAAAAGAGGCCCATTGGCTCCCTCCCTCCTCCTCCTCCTCCTCGAAACCCCTTCCCTTTCCAGGGACCTCCCTGCCCCCCTCCTCCCCCTCTCCATAAGAGCCCCCCCCCCAAATTTCCTATGCAACCCTTGCAGGCACTTGGATGAATGGGAAGGGAAGCATCCTGGGGGAGAGGATGGGGCTTCCAAGGGGAA